AAAGGAGTAGGCATCAATTCTGACACGCATCTTATCCCCATACACAATTTCGTAAGGATTGGGCCTGTATATGATATTCTGATATCCTAACTACTTAGTTTTGTTAGCTGTAGAAATATTACCAAATGTTTAATTCAAAATGAAAATATGCCAAAAATATGACAAAATTGAAAAAATATGAGAAAATGTTACAAAATCAATATTTTCATCTTTAGAGAGATATTTTTATGAGATTTTTCTAGACGCTTTTTCTTTTCTGCCAAGAGGCCATTCTAAACTAATGAGAACCTTCGAAATCAGTTCAGCCGTTCTCGACATATAAGAGATCTTTCAAGCATATCTTCTTTGATAAACACATATATCGGATATATTTTGCTATATATCCGTTTTGTTGGATGTTAACATCAGTGTAAAGATCAGAAGTAACCTTGTCATGGCTTTGTGATTTCGCCGGGATTTAAAATATTCGCGGTTTAATGAAAAATTTTGAATTTTTTCAACACAAAAGATATGGTCTATTTTACCCGCTAAATGTTATCCGATGACCACCCAAATTGGTAGGCTTCTTCCCCGCCCTAAACTCTAGCTACATCCGAAATTCCGATCATCTCCAAAAGAAATAGGGTTCTATTCTGACCCCAGTCCCACCTCCATTCTAAATTTCGTGAAGATCGGGACATAATTGCGACCTGTAGAGTGATTACAAATTAACATGGACAGACGGACAGACGGACGGACGGACATACATAGCTAGATCGACTCAGCTCGGCGAGCTAGGAAGATCCATATATACTTTCCTATGTGGGAAACCAATATTTCGAGGTGTTACATAATTTTTGGGCCAATCAAACTTATAATACCCCCAACACATAGTGTTGTAGGGTATAAAAACTGAGGGATTATTCGATTTAGATCAACAGTCAATATTGAACAAAACCTTCTGGCAACTTCCTTACAAAAGCTTACAATATATTTTTCAATATTTAATTAAATGAAAAAATGGAATATAGGAATATCCAATCCAATTTTCAATTTTTTCTGTAAAAAAATTGACTTGACTACCGAATATCGAGAGGAAAGGGGCTATAGGAAAACATTGACGTATAAAGAAATTGTTCAATATAAGCAGAAGAATCCATTACGAAATCCATAAACTGAAATTTCCGCTTAAATTGTCAAAATAAAGAATATCGGGAACTACCTATAGGAAAATGTGGACCTATAATAATATGAACCCTAAATATTAAATCTTAAGCTATTCCACTTGAAACTTAGCCTAAATTCATCAAAATGATGAATACTGGAATGGGAAAATTAGACCTACAGGGTGAGATAAAAAACTGAAACAAAGTCAACCGCCACAATTTTTACATTTTTTTTTAAATTATATTGAATGAAAGCAAAAAATGTCGGAAATGGCATAAAATTTTAGAATAAGTTTAGATTTGTTCGAATTGGTCACCTTTGGCACGAGTTATGGCCTTCAAACGGCCAATGAAACCGTCACTCGCTGCCCGAATGTTGCTCTGCGGTAGTTTGACCTATTCCAGGCGAAGCGGTTGCTTGAGGTTATCGGCACTTTGGTATTTTTTAGTGCCAACATTGCCTTCCAAAATACTCCAGACACAATAGTCCAACGGATTGGTATTCGGAGATTTTGATGGCCATTGTGCGCTAGAAATGAAGCGAGAAACCTCATGTAACCATTCTTGGGTGGCGCGTGCTGAGTGCGATGGTGCTGAGTCCTATTGGAATGTCCAAGGTCTGCGACCAAAATGATTGCGTACCCAAGGCTTTAATACACCCTTTAGAATATTTTCGCGATAATATTCGACATTTATTCTGATGCCATGGTTGATTAATACCAGCGGACAGCGACCATCGGCTGTTATGGCGGCCCACACCATGGCCGGCGCTTGAGTTATGGTGGCAGATTTTTAGCTGATCTCTTTCGCAAGTAAACACGATCATTTTGTTAGTTCACAAACTGCTGGACAACGAATGAGTTCTCATCAAAAAAAAAGTTAGGTGTAAGTTCTTGCACTTTTTGGAAATTCAATTACTTTACCCCGATCTCATTTTTCAATATTTGAAAATAAAAATTCAAAAAATTCAAATATGAAGAAATCATACTATGACGCTTGAATTCCATCACGATTAAGTTTTTTTCTGGAAAATTCTCACCAAAATGCTTTTGTACGCTTGTAAACAATCTAATGAGCTGTCAATGGAAAAATTTTAACAGCTGTCGGATGAGGGGCTTAGAAATGACAACAGTCTGAATTTGGTTGCAGTTTTTTTAATCTTACCATTTATGGCATGGCATGGTAATTTAGAATGAGGGTCACTGATGTATGTACCAAAGGGCTCTTAAAAAATCACACTGTAAATATTCGATAAGTACTAATATGTATAACATTTGGTAATATTTCGTATCATGTGAATCCGTAGACCTAAAAAATTTGAATTTTTGAATGGGGTTCAAGGTTGAGGAGTAGGGTCAACATAAGTAGGTAGTATTGGATGCGTATACTCATTTATACGAAAAGTGCTAAACGTTACTAAATTTACTAAAATTTGAATTTGTACGAATGGGTGGAGCTAGAATTCTGAAAATTCGCATGTAGGTTTGGGATATGGAGGTATTTTTTTTTAATTTGTACTTGTGTGCAGAAAAAATACTAAATGGTACTAAATTCGGTAAATTTAATTTAAAATTTTGGAAATAAGATTACTTTTGCATTGTAAGACTGACGTATATAGGTAGGTTTGGAAATTTGTACTTATGTATGGGTACTTTATTTGGTACAATGTAGAGTTGGAATCCTGAAATTTGGAAATAAGATTTCTATTGGATTGTGTGATGTACTAAATTTGGTACAATTCAGATTTGGGTGATCTAATAGAGCTGGTATCCTGAAATTTGGAATTAAGATTACTGTTGGAGTAGGTAGGATTTGGGATATGGAGTTGATTTGGTTTTGGAAATTAATACTACAAGTGCTCGAAAAGATCTAAATAGTACTATATTTGTTGTATTTTGGCATTGGGTGAATAGACAGTGCTTGAAATCTGAAATTTGGTATTTGGGATCGTTGTTCAAGCATTGTCTCCATATACAGGCGGTTTCGGATATGTGTACTATAATTGTACGAAAAGTACTGAATTGTACTATATTTGGTATAGGGTGAAGAGATAGAGATAAAATTCTCAAATTTCATATTTACACTACTGATGGTATCTGTGTTTGAGATTTGGCGGCGGCTTGGAATTGCATTCTATAAATATACGAAAAGTATTAAATAGTAGTTAATTTGCTATTATATGTAGATAGGGCTGGAATCTTCAAATTTAATATTGAGGCCTCTGTTGGTATCTGGAATTGAGATATGAAAGTGATGTTGGAAATGTGTACTATAATTGTACGAAAAGTACTGAATGGTACCATTTCTGGTATTGGGCGAAGGAAAATATATAAAATTCTGAAATTTGATATTTAGATTATGGTTGGTACCAGTATTTTTGATTTAGCGGTGGTTTGCAAAATGCGTCCTATATTTGTACAAAAAGTACAAAAAATACTAAATTAGGCATTGGGAGAAGGGATAGGGCTGAAATCTTCAAATATGATATAGAGGTCTCTGTTGGCATCTGGGTTTGAGATATGGAGGTGGTTTTGGGAATGTGTACCACAATTGTACGAAAAGCACTAAATTATACCAATTTTGGATCACTATTGGTGTCTAGGATGGAAAGATGTCGATTATTTGGATATGCGTACTAAATGTTACTAAATTTGGTATTGGGTGAAGGAATAGACCTGAAATTATGAAATGTGAAATTAGCGTGGAGATGTGGGTCCATTGTGCAATTGTTTTGCTAATATCCTTCTCGGTAAACTTCAAAATGAGAGATTTTTAAGTCCTTTTACACCAAAAGGTTAACATTTTCCTATTATTCTTTCGGAAAAAGGAAAAAATCGAAATCTATAACTAATTTTTGAGTTACCGACAAAAGTAGATAGAATTAAAATGCTTATAATTTCGGTAATTATCGAAAATTATCGGTAATTTAGCGACGAAATCATAGTAGTAAAATTTTGGGTTTTAAAGTTAGCGTAACAATGATGGGTTAGAGAATACCACTGCAGATTTAGATCGGTAATGAAAATAGAAAATATTTTTTCCAATGCTTCGTTGTTGCTACGGAAAGTCTTTGAAAAGTGTTAACATTTACTCAAAATCCTTACACGGTGCTAGGTTCCAATGGGAACGATTCGGGATTCTTGACGCTGCTTTGCTAGCTTATACCACTATGAGAAACACAGAGTTTTTCGATCGTGTTTGCGGTTAAGTTCCCTTGGTTATCTGTCAAATACTAAAGGAGGTCGATGATCACTTTTCACCACCCCCTATATTTGTCCTAAGAACATAACAACACTTTTTATTAAGTGGATTTAAATTTGTATAACATTAACACATAATTACGTACGCCACTGTAAATGTTGAGTTCGTGCATTCCTATTTGAAGAGGGGTGGGTGGCATTTGGGTGGTGTTATCATTCCCGAACAAAGAGCGAACAAAACAAACAAATATCTACCTTGTGTTCGATAGTAATAACATCCACATTAAATCATGCAACCTGTATTCTCTCACACCCCTTTCGAAATGTTTGTTGTTACATTTTCTCTCTCTTCGACACACACATACACGTACGCACACACACAGTAAGTTTGCAACCCCCCCAAACCCATTGCCTTACAACAAAAAGGGAATGTTTTCGTTTTTTTTTCGTTAATGAAGACAAGCGGCAAAGTCGATGTGTGTGTGTTGTATTTTCCGTTATTTGGGGAAAGGAGCAAGAGAAGAACAGTAAAAACAACAACAAGAGAAAACTGCACACACGTCGTCGTCGTCGTTGTCGTTTCGTGTGTTATGACTATGTCTATATAACAGAACCAGCCAGCGTATGTCGGCGGCCAAAGGAACCTTTGTGCAGAGCAACTGTAATTCAGTATCGCACAAACAACATTAACGGTAACATCAACAAAACGAAAGCGAGCGGATATATTCGGAAATTCGAAAGACCATATTTTTTTAACTTTGTGGGGAACAGAACAGACAAAATTAGAATCGCACTAGAAGTACTAGATGGTGATTATGATGATGATGATGAGGACGAGGGCGAATACGAAGAAGAGTTAATCTAAACAAAATATACATTTGAATGCACCACACACACAGAGGCACTATACTCTGAGTGTGTGAGAGAGAGAGGCAGAGGGGCCAAATAACAAACAGTATTTGCCGCTCTATTTGAACAGAATAAAACCAAAACAAAAAAAAAAAACACAACAACTTTGTTCGTCCATATGTTTTTGTTGGTTCGGGCATGATGATGATGATGATATTGTTGTCGTCGTCGGCGGCTATGGTATAGAATAGTGCATTACAGTCTCTGTGTGTATATAGGTGTGCGTGTGTTTGTGCCCCAAAGTGTGAGTGAACTTTAGTGCGTTAGGTGAATACAAACAACAGCAAAAACAATAACGAAAACGGGCAAACCCAACAGCTCTCGTCCAGTGACAACAAAGGCAGCCAGGCCACCTATTTGGGCTCTTTGTTGTGTTCTTTTTTAGTTTTTTGTTTTAAATTCGGTTAAGTTTCGTATCTCTACCACGGGATTTTGTGCGGAATCGAAATAAAAAATCGGGAAATAACATTACACCGTGAAAAATAAATCCAGATGAGGAGAATCGAGGAATTGCAAAACGAATGCAAATTTTAAGAATTTCGGAAATAGAAAACAAATTGAGATTTCGAAGGAGAAAATCTGGGGTTTGAATGGCACAAGTGGATGATAATACGACCCATAGCAATTGCAATATTTCTCGGCCGTTGTAAAAAAATATTTATTTTTTCAAAATAAAATTTTCAAAATAATATTCAAAATCTAAAAAAGTGATTCTCTAGAAAAATTTTCAAAAAAAAAAAAAAAAAAAATTGTGTGTGATTTCAAAATTCTGCCCCAGTCAAGCAGGCATAAAAGTGAAACTTTTTTAAAAAAAAAATTGTTAATCAAAAATTTCGAATCCAAACTTTAGTGCGTGTTTGGAATACTCTGTTCTGATTTTAAAACGTATGCATGACAGAAGAAAACCCTGTTTGCCACAACTGGCTACAGAAATGTCCACGATGATATTGCATGTGCCACAGTCCTCTCCACACCACTAAGCTAATTTAGGAAAATTCCATGCGAGTGGACACAATAAATGCTTGAATGACAACAAAAAAACGGTAAATGTCACAATCACCGTTATAACAATAAAAAACAACAAAAGGACCAACTAACACCATCATCCACAGAAAGGAGAAAAACCCCACATCCAAAGGAAAACATTTACACCAGAAAACACAAACAACACATGAAGCAGTCATTGACATAAAAATAAACAAACGTCGTATAAAAAATAAAAAAAAAAACATAAAAGAAATCATTGACTCTCCTCCCTCATCACAAATGTTCTCCCACACATAAAAACAAAAACCTCAACAACAACAAAAAATTGCAAAGCAATGCGTTTTCCCAAAAATACCACAAATGTCTTTCTGAAAAGTTTTGCCGGTTTTTCTACCAACTAACGAACGGTTCGGTTTTACATGCTCCCAAGCACACACACACATAGAAGTACTCTCAAACACAAGGGAGCCATTGCAAAATATAGGGGTGTGAGAGCGGAAACAGAGGAATGCAATAAAAACAAACATCAACACTTATCTGGTGGCGCGTTGCAAGCAAGTGTGTGTAAGTGTCGACGTCGTCGTCGTTATATTATTGTTTGGAGCATTTTTACCGTTACTTCAAACATTTCAAATGTGAAATAACAATGCAATCTGATAAAGTTCTCTATCTTAATTATTCTAAAATTTAAAAAAAAATCTTAATTTGTGCAAAATTTAAAAAAAGAAATTTAACAAGAAAAGAAAGTTTCAATAGAATAGTTTGAATCTCTAAAACCGAAAGTGAAAATGATTTGAAAAGAAAAAAAAAAAAAAAAAATAAACAATAAAAAGAAAACCAGCTAACAAAGAGAAAATTTCCAAATTAAAAAAGTTTATATTTTAAAGTGTTTGGGACCAAACCAAAAAAAAAAAAAGAGAAAACCAAAAAAGTTATTTGAATTGAAAAGTTACAACCAAAGAAACCAAACAGACTAAACTTCAACATCAATATTATTATCAAAAATAACAGCAGCAGAAAAAGGAACCTTACGGAACACCAGCAGAATAAATAAGACAGCAACAAATAATGTAGGTTTGAATTAAAATAATAAATTTTATTTAATTTAAGGCTCTTATTATGTACTAAGTCGATTTTTTTACATCTGAGTAGGTAATATGTGGGTTGAAATAAATGTATTTAAGTTGGACTTTATGGATAAGGATATCTTCAAAATTCCACTATTTCGCAAGCATATTTACTATTACTTAATATATAATTAATTAGGTTGTGTATTCTTTGAGATCGCAGGAAAAGACTAATAACTAATATTAAATGGGGCCATAAGTGATTGTATGTGCTTTATACCCTCCACCATAATATGGAGGGTATATTAAGTTTGTCATTCCATTTGTAACACCTGGAAATACACATTTTAGACCCCACAAAATATATTTTTGATCATCATAAAGTTCTATGTCGTTTTAGTAATCTCCGTCCGTCTGTCCTTCTGTGGAAATCACTCTAGCTTCCGAACGAAATGAAGTAGGTTGATAAAATTTTGCTCAAATATATGTTATATCAGCAGTATCAGCAATAGCTGCACTATTGGTATTGAAAATGGGCCATGTAGGTCCACGTTTTGGTATAGCCCCCATATAACGGTACCTCCCGATATTCGGTATTTTGATTTTATCGACATTATAACCGATTTTTTTTAAGTTTCGCATTTGAACAGGTTCATTTTGTCGTATAGACCCTAATATAATAGCTACATTCGGTATTTTTTAGATTTTAACAGAATTTTAACGAATTTTTTGCATGATATCATTTGGAGAAGGATTATATTAAAACAAGTAAAAAATCTGTAAGTTCGGCAGGGCCCATCTTTGAATACCGTCCACCATTTGAAACGATTTCGGTAATATTCAAAAAAAAAAAAAAAAATAATAATAATAATAATAATAATAATAAAATTAACAAGTAAAAAAGCTGAAAGCTCGGCCAGGCCGATCTTTGAATACCCTCCACCATTTGGAATGAATTTGGCAATTCTCAAAAACAATAAAATCCGTTAAAAATTCTGTTAAAATCTTAAAAATACCGAATGTAGCTTTTATATTAGGGTCTATACGACGACATGAACCTGCGTAGGTAACATTTGTCATAAGCCATTACAATATTAAAATGCGAAACTTAAAAAAAAAAAAACGTTAAAAATGTCGATAAAATCAAAATACCGAATATCGGGTGGTACCGTTATATGATGGCAATGCGAAGACGTGGAGCTGCACAGACAATTTTCTGTCATAGGCTGTAGTATCCATTACGAACTTCAAACACCAAATTTGAAACAGTTCCGGTGAATAATGTCGCTAAAATCATCAAAGTACCGAATATCGGAAGGTATCGTGATATGGGAGCTATACGAAAACGTAGACCTGCACAGACAATTTTCTGTCTTAGGCTGTAGTATTCATTACGAAATTCATACACCAAATTTGAAACAATTCCGGTAAATAATGCCTCTGAAATCATTTAAATACCGAATATTGGTATGTACCGTTATATGGGCGCTATACGAAGACGTGGACCTGCACAGACAATTTTCTGTTTTAGGATTTAGTATCCATTGCGAACTTCAAATACCAAATTTGAAATGATTACTGTGAATAATGACGCTAAAATCATCAAAGTACCGAATATCTGGAGGTACCGTTATATGGTGGCTATACGAAGACCTTGACCTGCACAATTTTCTGTCTTAGGCTGTAGTATCCATTTCGAACGTCAAATACCACATTTGAAACAATTCTGGTGAATAATGTCGCTAAAATCATCAAAATACCGAATATCGGGAGGTACATGGGGAGGTATATGGGGGCTGTATGAAGACGTGAACCTGCACAGACAATTTTCTGTCTTAGGCTGTAGTACCCATTACGAACTTCAAACACCAAATTTGATTTTTCCGGTGATTTACATCGCTTATATCACCAAAATACCGAAAAAGGGAGGTGCCATTATATGGGGGCTATACCAAAACGTGGACATACATCACCCATTTTCAATACCAAAAGTCCTGCAGAAATAATACACATTTGAGTAAAATTTTATCAACCTACTCCACTTCGTTCGGCAGCTAAAGTGATTTCCACAGACGGATAGACGGACAGACGGACGGACATCGCTAAATCGACATAGAATTTTATGCTGATGAAGAATATATGTACTTTGTGGGGTCTAAAATGTGTATTTCGAGATGTTACAAACGGAATGACAAACTTAATATACCCTCCATAATATAGTGGAGGGTATAAAAATGTATATCGGAGCCGAGTTGCACAAAATGGGAACGTACGTCCCGAATTTCACTTTTTTTGGGCTGATATTAGCCATTATTTGCACAATTAACCCGAAACCAGATGAAGATATATATGGGAGCCATGTCCAAATCTGAATCGATCTTGATAAAATTTGGCAGAGGTATTTTGAAGCTCTATAATATTTCTGGTAGCAAATATCATTGTTGTCGAATGCATATTACGAACTTGAGGGGTTAAACTTCAAATTGGATGAAACATATATGTGGGACCTATAGCTATATCTGAACCGATTTTCTCCGAATTCGATGTACTTGCTTCTAGATTGAATTCGGTTGGATATGCCGAAATTCAGGTCATTCAGACTGATATTGGATATTTGGTGCACAATTAACCCGAAATCGGTTGATGATATATATGGGAGCTATATCGAAATCTAAACCGATCTTGATAAAATTTGGCAGAGGTATTTCTGGGATGTATCTAATAACCGGTACCAAATATCATTGTTGTCGAATGCATACTTAAACACCAAATCAGAAGAAATATATATTTGGGAGCTATATATCTGAACCGATTTCCACTAAAATTGCTTCCAGACTGAATTCAGTTGGATGTGCTAAAATCAGGTTATTTGCACTGATATGGGCTATTTGATACACAATTAACCCGAAATAGGTTGATGATTTATATGGGAGCTATTTCTAAACTTGAACCGATTCTCACAAATTTCGATACGGCTCGTCTTAGCGGCAAACAAATTTTATTTAGAAAAATTCACCTCAATCGGATGATAAATGCGACCTGCATTTTGTTCACAAAAATACATGGACAGACGCACGGGACAGACTGACATGCAAAAATCGACTCAGAAGGAAATTCTATGAAGATCCTCAAAAGGAACTATGGGTCTCTCTCTCTTCTTTCTCCATGTTACATAGAAATGCAAAAAGACATAATACCCTCACCGCTATGTGTAGAAATGTAGAAATGTGTAGAAATGCATTCAAAATGTATCTACTAAAAGTGAAAATTATGTCATTGCTTTTTTGTATTTTTAATTTAAGGCGTATCCAATTCGTGTCAAAATATCCGTTTACACTTCATTTTTTGGAAAAAAAAAAGGTAAAAAAAAGGATTGTGGTTCTCTGAACAATGGACATTTTTATATCTATCTTATTTTATATTTTATACTTTGATAGAGTTCTTTTATTACAACCAGAATCATTTCCAAAGATGTACAAATGCCTACGCCAAATTTTGTGAAAGTCGATTCAGAGTTAGTTATGCCTCCGAGTTCCTTATGATCCCTAATTATAACTGGTCTAAAGCCAAATACCAAATTAGTTTCACCACCTCCTTATTTTTACCATGAACCAACACTTCAAATTTCCAGCTCCATCTCTTCACCCAAACCAAATTGTACCAAATGCAGTAACATTTGTTATAGGTCTTTCCTGCTTATATTAACCCTACATCCAGAATTGAGTTTTGATGCTAAATGCCAATCCGTTCAAATAATACCAAACGGTCACACATTTTTAGTATTTATAGTTTGAATTTCCAAAAATCCTGCCCTATGTCACCCCTACACACCAACATTGACCCACATGTAAAATATTCAACTGTTTCGCCGGGGCGTTAAATCAGCCAGTTATTCACTGAAATTATTAGAAATATATGTTTCTAAATGGACGCACTAAAATGGCTGTTACTAATAAATCCATCCATGTACACGTCAGCACACCCACAAAAGTCTGAAATATCACATTACAGATGATTTGGTTTGACAACTTCCAAATACAGAAAATCAAGAGCGGTTGCATAGGGGCTATATCAAAATGTGGACCCATATTTGACTTTTTTGATGTGGAATTAAGCTATGCACTGGTAGCTCGATGTTTCAAACTTGAGAAGATTTGGTCGGAAATTGAGACCGGAAAATACGAAATAATCACGAGGATCCGTGAAAACATTGAATATTTCTTTACAAGGAGTTAAAAATTGAGAATTGCGAAGTGCTATATTACAATTGATTTCGTTCGAAAGGTGGGCATAAAATTTTCCGAATTTTTTTTCGAGATGATTTGGTCGGAAATTGTGACGGAAAATCACTTGGTTCCGTGAAAACATTAAAACATTTAATATTTCTTTGCAAAAAGTTAACACTTGAGAATGCGAAGTGCTATATTACAATTGATTTGGTTCGAAAGTGGGGCATACAATTTTCAGAAAGGGCCTCTTTATGGAGGCTATACCTAAACACCAAAACCGAACCGATTTTCACCAGATTTGAAATATTTACTTCTAGACTGATTTCGATCAGATGTGCCGAAATACATCTTGTTTGGACGAATATTACACACATGGCTCCTAATAAAATTGAAATCGGATGAATATATATATATATATGGGAACTATATTTAAATCTGAACCGATCTTCATCAAAATTGCCAGACATACTTTTGGACTAAAACTAAAATTCATTCGATTCGGACTGTTACGGCTTTATATATGGGAGCTATATCCAAGTCTGATTAGATTATTTCCAACTTAAATTGGGTTTGTCTCTTGGCTAAGCAAATGATTTGTGGAAACTTTCACCTCAATCCGACAGTATATAAGACCTGTACTTTCTTTGCAAATATACATAGACGGACAAACATGCACAATACGACTCAGAACGTGATTCTATGAAGATCGTCGAAAGAAACTAAGGGTATATTTTGTTTTCTTTTGCCTGTTACAAACAAATGCACAAATATATA